GGTAGCCATTTTTTTGTACTATGCTTAGCCAACATGGATCTTGTCATCTTAGATTTAGTTACACGAAAATCTGTAGTTAGTATATTGAAAAGAGCGTCTGTGATGTCCATATTTGAGAAGCATTAATTACTAGTTGGAAACCATTGTTGAGTTTTACCTAGGAAAAAAATATTATGTTTGGTTCAGCGAGCAGGGTGATAGGAATTAGCATTTAGAAGAATATGAAAAAGAAAATTGTATTTGAGTGTATCTAACATTTGCCTTTGAGATGGAGGAGGGGGGATATCATCATTAGTATGAGAAGTAGAAATATGTTTGGGCCGGTTTGGATGTGTGAATTACTCTCGGAAACTCTAGGAATTAAGTTTTTTCATTATTTCCCAAAATGCCCTCATATAGTAGGTCATATCTTTTTAAAACCAAAACCTTTTTTCCATTTTTTTCTCGCACGCTGACGCGATCTTGATTTCTGCAGGTATATGCAGTTCACTTCAAGTGTAACAAGAAGTTGCTACGTGAGTACCCGAATCTCTTCAATTACACTAAAGACATCTTCCAAATCCCGGGGATGAGCAGTACAGTAAACATGGAACACATTAAGAAGCATTACTATGGAAGTCATCCCTCTATCAATCCATTTGGAATCGTCCCGCAGGGTCCAAATATTGACTATGCTACTCCCCATGACAGGGAAAAGTTGGCTTAACAGCATCACAGTATCACACATACATCTTGCACTACATACTCTTGTTCATATGTGATTTCTCTTATATGTTTCCTGTAAAGCTTTCTAGCATGCTCCCTTTAAGTACAGTTATTTGGTGATGCCTATAAGGCTATAATGTTTCCGTGGTTCTCTCTTATTCCTTGCAATAAAAGATTTCCCGCATTTTTGCGGGGATATGTTTGTATGATCTCTTCTTCCTGTACCAAAACAAAACAACTTCCTGTACCAAAAGAAAACAAAGATCCCACACTTTCAATTTGTTTCAAGTTGATTGATCTTATATACTTATTAGCAGTATCATTTATAATAACAAGGGAAAACTATCGAATAAGTCTTCCTACTATATTTGAATAGTCAATATGGTCCTTGTACTTCACAATCGACCAATTAAACCCTCAAACTATTAAAAAAACTCAATTGAACTTTTTAGTAGGTAACCAATAAGTGGCCGGTTAACTTCCAAATGTGATTGTCTACATGGCTTTCTCGTTTAATTTTATCTATATTTATAAAACCTAAATTCATTTTTTTTTTGTAATTTGACTTTTTTCGTCAGCGTCTTCTTCTTCAAGAAGCTATGAAGCACGGATACTTCGCTAGGGTAGCGTATCGGCGTATCCGATACGTTCCCGTATCCGATACTCTAGGATACCCGTATCATACGTTCCCGGGCCGTATCTGCAATTTTTAAAAGTTTCCATTTTTTTTTTGTAATTTTTTGAAAGTTTCCGATACCCGTATCCTGACGGATACCCGTATCAACTTTTTTTAAAAAAAAATCCCAAAATTTACTTAATAAAATTCTAAACAAAAATGAAAATCTAAAACTACATTTTACTTGGTAATCAAATAATGGGCCTATATGGCTATATCCGAATTAAGTCATTAACTCATACTCCGAATTGGATACTTGCACTTTTAATTTCAAGATGGCTAAAGGGTCAAATAGGTACATGAACTAACTTAAAGTGATCAATTAACCCCTTATAAAGGAGTTTCTGCCCGGACGTCGCCAATTGGGGCGGTTCCCGGTGGAATTTTTTTATGAAATGTTTTGAGCATCTTCTTCATTAAGTCTGGTTTACCCATACCAAATTTCAGCTAAAAACTCAATCGGGAAGGCAGTCGAATTATTTTCCGAAATGTACTGCGCTGTTTAATTTTTCAGAAAATCATTCGACTGCCTTCCCGGTTGAGTTTTTAGCTGAAATTTGGTCTGGGTACACTAGACTTAATGAAGAAGATGCTCAAAAAAATTCATCAAAAAATTACACCGGGAACCGCCCCAATTGGCGACGTCCGGGCAGAAACTCCTATATAAGGGGCTAATTGAACACTTTAGGTTAGTTCATGCACCTATTTGATCCTTTAGCCTTTCAAGATTGTAGTTGTTTGACTTATTTCTCATTTTAAATTAATGACTTATTGACTATATTTATATTTCGAGATGACTAGTGTATATGAGAAATATTATGAATTTATTACCAAGTATCTTGAAAAAGGAAAATGTTTCAATGCAATGAATGGGTAGACATCATAGGATATTATATGTGTGTGTGTAGGGGTGGACCGGTTCCGGTTCGGGCCTGGGCCCGGCCGGGCCTCGGTTCAGAAAAAGGAGGCCCGAGCCCGAACCGGTGGTGGGCGGTTCCGGTTCCGGTTCCGGGCCAGAACCGGGCCGGGCCGGGCCGGGCCACCCGGAATGTTTTTTTTTTCTTCTTCTTCTCTTATTTAACCCCCTACCCCTCCCCCTCCACCCCAAACCACCTCAAATGGCCCAAAATACCTAATCCAACCCAAAACTTAAAAAAATTTCAAAAAAAAAAAAATCTAAACTGGAGGCCCGGGCCCGGACCGGTATACCACCGGGCCGGGAGGCCTGAACCGGAACCGAACCGGTTCACCGGGCCGGTCCGGGCCCGCACAGTAGCGGGCCGGTCCGGTTCCGGGCCGGTTGGCCCGGCCCGAGTCCATCCCTGTGTGTGTGTGTGTGTGTATAGACCCCTATAACTTTTAATATTTGTGTGTGTGTGTGTGTGTGTGTATATATATATATATATATATATTATGTGTGTGTGTATATATATGTGTGTGTGTGTGTGTATATATATATAAATATATATAAATATATATATATTTATATATATAGACCCCTATATATGTGTGTGTGTGGGTCTATATATATATATATATATATATATATATATATATATATATATATATATATATTTATATATAGACCCCTATATATGTGTGTGTGTGGGTCTACATATATATATATAGACCCCTATATGTGTGTGTGTGTGTGTATAGATCCCTATAACTTTTAATATTTGTAAATACACCCCCATAACTTTTAATATTTATAAATATTATATATATATATATTCAAAAAAAAATCTATTTTTAATATTTATAAATAGACCCCTATAACTTTTAATATTTGTAAATACACCCCCATAACTTTTAATATTTATAAATATGGCTCCGTATCCGTATCCTACTTTTTTGGTTTTGACGTATCCCCGTACCCGTTTCCGCGTTTCCGCGTACCGGTATTGGTGCTACATAGTCAAGAAGTGCTCAAATGCGACCGCAACCCGGCTCGAGAATGGAACCCGGTGGCAACATACCGTACTCCCAGCCTTCTACGAGAAACGGGCGTTGTCGTCTGTCGAAATTCACCACCAGTTGCAGCTTCAACTCGGTGCTCACAATCATGTTCTTCTAATGCCGGTGATTTGCCAAAGCCTCTCCAAATCTGCCCCAATTCATCACCTAATTTTTGCCAGCCAAATAATAATATGCGGCAACTAATACCGGAGTGGGCAACGCCACAGTCCAAATAGTTCTGAAAAGGGTTTGCTCTGCGGCCAGGTGAAACCTCGACAGAGCTCCCGTCATTCCCGTCAACTAGAACCTTCGTTGGTTGTCAAGATCTTCATCTCTAGGCAGCCCCTCAAAGAAGCAATTGTATATATAAACACACAGTTCACAACAAGGTATAACTTATAAGACTGGATAGATTTAGAGTTACGAGCAGACCAAACTATGTATATATCCAAATTATGTAGTTGGGCCTATCGGACCCATATTGACGGCCCAACCTGCTACTTTCTCTATATATACTCTTTATTGGAGGCATTGTACACCCTAATAAAACGAGGTAAGGGTCAATCGAGTACATCAACTTGTATGAGTAAAAAGTACATTATATTACATTTGATCTTTCTAAGTACACAAATTTGGGGTTTTAGTGTTAATTGAGTACACCCGTTAGATTTACACGTTAATACGTCCGGTGGCTAACAGAATGCTAATAGGTTGACTTCTTGAAGGTCGACACCAGCCCTAGCCACTTGATCGACTTCCCCTTGACCCACTTCAGTCCCCCGCAAGTCGACTTCTCCTTCGTCGATGCACCCTTGCTAGCCAATGCCCCGTGCAGGTCGACCTCTGAATGTCAATTTTCCCTTTTTGGTCGACTTCGTGAAGGTCGGCGCCATAACCTTGGTCCATTACTCCTTACTCAGCATTCCGTTAGCCAACTCGGCTATATTAACGTGTTAATCTAACAAGTGTACTCAATTAACTCTAAAACCCCGAATTTGTGTAATTAAAAAGATTAAATGCAATACAGTATACTCTTTACTCCACCTCATACAAGTTGATGTACTTAATTGACTCTTTCCTCCTAATACAACTATTCATTCATTGTACACATTATCTCCTCAACTTCTCCATTTCATACAGGTAGCGATTATCCATCAATAGTCTTCTACAGTAACTTCAATCAATAGAGCAGTAAAAGTTTTAAACAAAATGCTTCTTGGGCACACCGAAGTCATACACGTTATTTACACTTTTCGTAAAAATTGTATATGACAGAGAAACAATTGTGTGAATCAATCTAACTTATTAAAATAAAAAAATTGTGAAAGCAACAAAATGGGCTAGTGAATGTCGCGTATATAAAACAAGCTTTTTAGTTTTTATTTTCAAAAGTAAAAGTGTAAAACTACTTTGAATCTATGAGTCTGTGAGTTCGCCCGTAGGAAATTGGAAAAATCTCTTTGCACACGTCATTTTTTACACGCTGGATTACAGATCAAATTTGATCGACGTCTTATGAAGAAAATTGATTTTCACACTTAAAAAAATAAAAAATTATTTGTATCAGAAACATTTTAGATAAGAGTTTTACATAAAATGTTTGTGAAATAACAATTTTAAAGAGAATTTTAAAATGTCTAATAATTTCTTTTTTCTTTTGGCCCCCTCCTATTTCATTTTCCTGACTAAAAACTGGAAACGTTCGTTGCAATCATTTAGCTCGCTGATAAACTGGACAGATTTTGACTACGACTGTGGTCTGGGCTGGAAAACTGCAAGATGAACAAGGCACGGCTGGATTTGAGGCTGAATCAGTCTGGATCCGCACAATCAGAGGAATCTGCACTGGATTTAGAAAGAAATGGTTCCGATCATATCAATCTTCCTTCAACAAGCCCTCCACCATTACAAACTATTGCATCAAGTAATCAGATCTCTGAGAGTAGCGCGGCTTACTTTTCATGGCCTAGCCGGTTAGATGCTGTGGAACGGGCTAATTACTTTAGACACCTTCAGAAGAGGGTTTTGCCTGAAACCCTTGGACGGCTTCCGTTGGGGCAGCAAGCTAAAACTTTGCTTGATCTTATGACCGTTAGAGCATTTCATAGCAAAATTCTTCGCCGGTTTAGTCTGGGAACAGCAATAGGATTTCGCATAAGGCGCGGTGTTTTGACAGATACACCTGCTATCCTTGTCTTTGTAGCCAGAAAAGTTAACAGGCAGTGTCTCAGCTGCGTTGAATGTCTCCCGGCCTACCTTGAGGTCTTAAAACACACATTTCTGTTTTCTTTGTTGATAATTTCGCTTCCTGAACTCATGATTCTGTGATTTTAAAAAATCCATTTTTCTTATGAAGGGCTGGCTTTTGGGTTACTATTATTAATATAACATTCATCTGGATGATGTATGTCTTTAAAATTTTGAATGTTATCCAGTTTCTCCAGTATTCTATAATTTCATGACAGTTGAATATATTTAATACTTAATTGATTAGGGACCAGGAGGCATATGGTGCGATGTAGATGTTGTTGAGTTCTCTTATTACGGAGCACCTGCAGCAACCCCAAAAGAGGAACTGTACAATGAACTCGTGGAAGGGCTGCGTGGTAGTGATCCGTGCATCGGATCTGGATCTCAGGTGATTGCTTGTCATTAGTTTCGATTTTTTAATGCTGTAACTCTTTTAATATCTACTGATGTGTTGTTAGGGTAGACTGGCAGACAATAATGCTTGTGGCTTGTTTATGATCTCCAACTTTAGTACCAGTTTGAAATCATAACCTTGATGATAAACACCCTCTAGGGATTACCATGCAATATACTTTTGTTCATTCAAGAAAAAATGTCAGAGTGGAGCGTGGATGGTTTCTAAAAGCTTGGTATGAATTAAACACAAAGGCTGCCTTGTTTTATCTCTCATTTGGAGAAAGAGAACATGGTATTTGGAGGGCATATATTTCAAGAACGAGACATCAATTTCAGAAATAAAAATGCAGTTATAGTTTTTGCAGTAAAATATTATTGTTGTATACTTTTATGATGCTTCTTGTTTTTGGTTTTTATACTTGTATCTCTTTTTTGGGTTTAGGGCAAAAAATATCCTGAGACCAAGGTAAACCAAAATAACAGATGAACCATTTAACAAACTATTATAATATGTCTCATTGTCTCTTTGTAAAACTAGCTACATAGTATACAATAAATTGTGGTTAACAAACTATTTGTCATTTTATCTATTATGCATGTAGGATGGATTACAAGCAATACCGATGTTTGGTTTATTTATTTCTCATTTTCATGCACATAAACATGACCACATTTAATGGTTATTTATTTTTATTAGTAACATCATAATTTTTAGTGCGCCGTTTCCGTGCCGTACATGTAATCCTGTATCTTGATTTGTTGAGATTAGAGTTTCCCCGTCCCCGCTTCCATTTCCGTTTCCGTTCTGGTGCTACTTAGATTTGCAGTGCACTACTATAGAAGTAGGAGATGAAGGAGTAACTGATCATGGAACTCTCCATTAGAATGAGTATAAGGAAAATAGTGGCACTATCAAGATCTTGGAAATGTAAGGCTGTATCTAGTTAAGGGGAATAATTCCCATTTCTAGGTTCGGTTGATTTCCCATTGAAAATTTTCAAAATGTAATTTGATAGTTGCAAACCTCGAATGACTTGTAATTTAATAAAATGTCCTGTTCAACTTTTTATTATTTTCTCGAACAAGCAGATAAGCTTGGCTGAGTGGTTGGGGTGGCGACTATGTGTTCTCAATTACTTTTTTTGAAAGGGGGGAAGTGGAACTTTTTATCTTTTTGAGATTTTCTTTCAACTGCAAACCTTTTCCATTTTTCCTTAGAATTATTTTTTCTGCTACTGAATATTCCCAACTCTTTGAGATTCGAAACGAATATTCCCTAAACTAAACCGCTATAAGGAGCTGTTAGCTTGGTTAACACGGTTATGTCTTTTAGGTGGCGAGTCAAGAGACATATGGAACTTTGGGTGCTATTGTTAAAAGCCGGACAGGAAACCAGCCGGTTGGTTTTCTCACAAATCGGCATGTAGCGGTGGACTTGGATTATCCAAGCCAGAAAATGTTTCATCCCTTGCCGCCAAGCCTTGGGCCAGGAGTGTATTTGGGAGCAGTAGAGAGAGCAACATCATTTATAACTGATGATCTTTGGTATGGCTTGTTTGCTGGAACAAACCCAGGTGAAGTAACTTCATGGTGAACTTTTGTTCAAGAAAGAGAGAAATCTCTCTTGGTTTTGGGAATAGTAATTCATAGTTTCTTTTTTAACTTAAAGAATTTCCACACCCGGGACAATACAAACAACGTGTTTACCCAAAACAATTTGGTAACATGGTTTATTTTCTTGATCCCATTATTTTTCTTTCCTACTATGATATGCCACTAAAGCACCCTGTGGTCTACTCTTTTATTTTTCAAATTTGGGCATCATGTCCTCCCAAATATTAGTGTTCAAAATGATATTGTTTCTCCCAAATCCTGCCTGCCCGTTAATTGATTCAGAAGACTGCAGCTCCTGTTTAGTGTGGAAAATTTTGCTCCTTTTCCAACTCATTTTTTGCACTTTCCTTTCTTGAAGACTAAAGTACTTCTCTCTCCTTGCATGTGGAGATTTGCTCAACTTGATGACAGACTCTATTTTTTCATTTTTGTTTTCCTTTTTCTTTAAGGATAGATGGGGAGTTTTCAATTTAATCAACAGACCCCAGGCCCCTAATATACTCAATTTCAAATTCAAACGACACCTGGATTTTGGTCCTTTTGGAAAAAGTAATAGGTTTTCTTTTTTACTCTTCTCTGAAGAGGGTAGATAAGAAACATGATCTTAAACATGTTGATTGATGCCCATATTGCCTTAAGTTGACTAAATATCTTGATGGACGGTTTTCTTTTGACTCATTGACAACCCCATTCTCCTCGACTTTTTTGGCAATCAATTACTATATATATGCACCTAGTGAATTATTTCTACACAGTTCCTTGGGAATTAAACTACCCCTTAATCTTAAAAAGTTTGTATTAAATTGGATTAGTGAACAGAAATACTTAAATGGAGTGCAGTGCATGTTTTCTTAATTGGAATTGGTTTGTTGTAAGTTTTAATACTGCTCTAGTGCTCTCTAATGCATATTATCACAATACCTTTCTTTACTCTTCCAGAAACATTTGTTCGGGCAGATGGAGCTTTCATTCCTTTTGCAGACAATTTTGACATGTCCAACGTGACTACATCTGTAAAAGGTGTAGGTGAGATTGGTAATGTGAACAAAATAGACCTACAGGCTCCAATCGGCAGCCTTGTTGGCAGACAAGTAGTGAAAGTCGGAAGGAGCTCTGGTTTGACCACAGGGACTATAATGGCCTATGCCCTGGAGTATAATGATGTGAAAGGAGTGTGTTTCTTCACAGACTTCCTTGTTGTTGGTGAAAACCAACTTACATTTGATCTTGAAGGTGATAGCGGTAGCCTCATCCTTTTGACTGGTCAAGACGGAGAGAAGCCTCGACCCGTTGGAATCATATGGGGTGGAACGGCTAACCGAGGTCGTTTAAAGCTGAAAGTTGGTCAACCTCCAGAGAATTGGACGAGCGGGGTTGACCTAGGTCGTCTTCTTGATCTCCTTGAGCTCGATCTGATTACATCCGATGAAGGTTTTCGAGGTCTGTAGCCTGTACACACACTAGGAATTAACACTGCTCTTATACCAATTACTAGTGTCCGTTCAGAACCTGAAAAATATTGGTAAAGGATCATTTGGGGTCGACAAATCAGAGGCTCAAACAAATATGATTTCCCCCCCTAAATTTGCAATTAATTCTACTCTTATTAGTTATTATTAATATCATCATAATTATTATTGTTTTAACCCCATGAAACTTATTTACATGTGAAGTTTTTCAAAACAATACTCTTATTTAATTGGCATTATACTAGTATATGGTAAAACCAAACACAAGAAAATAACTTTTATTTACACTTTTTTTCTTTAACTAGAATTTTCTGCATCTAAATGGGCAATTGCTCCCTAGTTCTTATGCCTTGAATCAACCCGTCATATTTCTTACTGTGCTGCGTTTTCTGTTTTCCTAAAAAAAACAGCTGAACCACAAGAGCATAGAAACGAATTTCAAGTAGGAACCGGTTCAACAGTGGCCACCAATTCATCACCTACCCAGAAAGTTTCCTTGAAAAAGAAACCTGGGGAGAACTTGGAACCACTAGATCTGAACATCCGACAAGCTCCAGCTGATAGTAATGAGGGGCCAACTCCACCACCAGTAAGGCACCACCATGAATTTCACATTCAGACAAAAAGTGAATCAGCAGGTCCCAGCTGTATCGAGCACCAGTTCATTGAGAGCGTCTCTGATGATGCGTCTCCGGCACAACAGGACATCCCAGTGGGAGGTGTTGAACTAAATATTAATAATAATTTACATGCATTAAGGGACGGGGTTTCTGTTTCTTTGCAGTTAGGTGAACATGAACCTGAACCTAAGAGAAGGAAGCATTCTGAATCTGAGGTTGCCTCTTGACATGCTGATTGCTGAGATATGAGCAATGATCCAAAAGTGAAGTGCAAGTATACTGGGGGAGGGGGGGATTATTATGGCTCTAGATTAGTGTTGTAAGGTATAGGGTACTAATGGCCGAAAGCAAATTCTAATTATTTAATCTGTATAACCCGTTGGGGTAGCTATTAGGTTAAAGGTGTTCTATGGCCTGCAAATCATATCTGAGAATGCTCGGTGCAAAAAGTATTGGTCTACCGTTGGGAAGAAAACTCAAATATTTTATTATATTCTGTTTTCAAGATGTCTCCGTTGTGTTTGTCAGTGAACAAAAATGAGTAAATTTCAATTTGACCTGTACATTGTTCACATCTTACTTTCAATCTGTGGCTTTTATTTTTCATTTTCAACCAATTATTATACTTCAAAAATATTCTGATTTTAACATTAATGCCTAAACGGTCTTATGCTATAAAAATTTTCTAACTTATCTTCAACCATAATCAAAGGAGAAATTGCCCTAAATAAGACTAAATGAGGTTTGGAATTCCAAAATAGGACTACTATATTTTTCTTCCCAAAATAGGAGTTGTGACTGTCATGATTGAAAAATACTGTCATTAATTATAATAAATGTTATCATGTTAAATGCATTTTATTGCAACTATTTGGCAATCACGCCTACAAGATAGCAGTAAATATTTTTCATGTTAATCCTATTTTAGAAATAAAAACATAACAGTCTTATTTTGGAATTTCAAACTTCATTTGCTCCTATTTTTGAAAATCTCCCTAATCAAAGTTGTTTTTTACTTCCTATTTCCTCCGCTCTTTTAGGGAAAACCGGAAAAGGATCAAATAGATCTTTTCATTATTTCTAAATCATCACTTAAATCCATGAAAAATGCTAGAGGTACACGTTTTTTGTACACGTTTGGTGTACACTTGTCTTTCCTTCACAGACAAATTGTCTGTCACAGACAATTGTCTGTGACAGACAATTTGTCTGTGAAGGAAAGACAAGTGTACACCAAACGTGTACCTCTAGCATTTCTCTAAATCCATATACTAGAAAAAAAAAGTACTATGGTACTACGTAGTACGAATTATATAAGTATGTTTATTTTAAAAACACAGTAAATCAGGTACTATAATATGCTATAGCAGATTACTTTTGAAAAAATAATTAGAATAATGGATAAATCTTATAAATATTCATGTTTATTTAAAAAAACAATGTAATAATAATATAAAAATACTCCATTGATAATTAGAACAATTGATAAATCTTGTAAACATTCACAAATAGATAAGTTTTAAAATGTTAAAATAAAATAAAAAAACAGAAAAATGAAAAAAAAAACAGTGAAAGTGTAATTAAACTTCATTCTATTCTTGTTCGCTATTCTTTACGTTTTTTGGTGTATTTTATTTTTACTATACTTTCCCATTTTGGCAAGTTTATGTTCCCTTAAAAACAATTAATTTCTCTTACTTTTTATCTTCTCTTTTATATTTTTTCATCTTTAGACCTACTTCTCACACACTATTCATTACTCCTATTATTCATCCCATAAACATTGTGTCAAATCCTATAGTAGCAAACAATAGAATATGGAGGGAGTATAAAATTAATATGTATTAAATTTTAAAATGATATAGAATATATGATTTTTTTTTAAATTGTCCATGGTTTATATTTTTATTTCTTCGAATATTAATAAATAGTTAAAGTTTTTAATATATTAAAACTTGCTATTACGGGTCAAACCCGGTTGAAAGGTCAGGTTGATCGATTGTTTAAAATAAGCACACTTATATGATGTTTTTTAGTATATGAGTTTAAGTGATGAATTGAAAATAGTAGAAAAATCTATGTACCTCTTTCTTGTTATTTTATTAATTATAATGTTTTCATTTTCACATTTGAAGTTTAACAAAAACAAATTATAATATATTACGGAGTGATAAATAAAATGTGGTGAAAGTAGAGAATGGATTGATGAGAATTCAACATGTTAAATCCATTTAAGAATGGTGGTAATTTCCATTAAAAAAATGGTGGTAATTAAATGGAATAACGAAAAGTCAAAAAACAATACTACATCCCATTTAAGTTTTTTCCGTGTTGCACGATTAGGGGTGGACCCTGATTTTGGGATTAAAACCCGATGGACGACGGATAAAGAACCAGGCCAACGTGAGGCAATCATAATAAAAAAGAAGAGATATTACCCAAAATGGGACTAAAAAAGTTTGAAAATTACAAAATATGACTTCCATGTTTTTATTCCCAAAATAGGACTAATTACTGCCATGTTTTGGCAGTATCAGACTTCAAACATGACAGTATTTTCCAAATTTGGCAATAATTAGTCCTATTTTGGGAATAAAAACATGACAGTCCTATTTTGGAATTTTTGAACTTTTTTAGTCCCATTTCGGGAACTTTCCCATAAAAGAATATAAAATTGTGAATTTATAACTCTTTTTTAAATAAGATTTGCTTAGGGTGGATCTAACTAAAATGCTAAATGGATTTTTATTCACTAGCAAGTCCTGGTATGACACAATGAATCGTTTTTAGTTTTTCGCAGTCTCCTTAGAATTGTTATGGATCCTTACACCATTATTATATGTTCTTGACGTTTTCAAACTGGCAGCTCTCTCTGTTGTAATATTGTTGCTCCATCCACATTGCATACTAATCATGGAATGATGTGTTCTGGGTTCTGTCTCCCCCACTGTTGTGTCATATTTGTTTTTTTTAAGTCATTATGTTACTACATGTTCATCTAGGTTTAATCCCGCAACTAAATAGATATTGGCTGCTCCTGTCCCTGGCTACTCTAATAGTCTAATATGTACGCATTTTAACTTTCTCATTTTGCGACATTTTTGGAGTTTTATTATAAATATCGTTGTAAAAATAATAGTCTTGTTTCTTTAGCACAAGTTCTAAAAATAGTGGTTGAAAAGAAAAAAATTGTTGTTGAAGTTTGAGTAAAAAACACGGATTGATATGAGTCACATATTATTGTCAAAAAACAAGACAATAATTTCAGAATGAATCAAGTAATATTTTGCCTATTTACGAAGATAACACAACACATTGACATGCAAGCGTAATTCTTCAATGTATATAATTGATTTAATAAATCTCATACACAACTCCAAGAATAATGAACAATATTAATAAGTATTTGGGATGTGTTTAGCAGTTTAGATATAAATATATAATGGTAAAAAATATATTAGAATACAAGAATATATTAGAGAATATAGATTGACGAAGACGAGAGAATGAGAGATTTGAATGTGCAGAAAAAATGAAAAAAAAAAAAAAAAGGCATTTGTAGACTCCAACGGTTCTAAGAGCATTGAAGGAGAGTAGGTGACTACAATGCTCCCAACGGTGAACGGACTATGCTTCAACCAAGAGGAAAAATATGTACTAGCATCTGAGACCAAACTAACCGGTCATGGTATCAATATCTACAGCCAGGAACCGGTCCTTCTGAACCGCCCCGCCTATACCCGAACCGCCCCCACCAATCCCGATCAATTCCAAGAACTAGGCCATCCTAGTCGAACTGGTCCCAAGAGGCCAAGACCGGGACCGTGTTCACCCCCTACAGCCCTACCTACTCGGAGCTGGACATGTCCATGCTTACAGTGGCGGACACAGGGGATGACCAAGGGGGGCTGCTGCCCCTCCAAAAAATATATATAAGTATATTTACCCTGAAATTTTAAATGTATATGTATTTTGTATGTATATTTTTGTATTGCCGGCTTGCCGCCCCTGCTACCGGAAATTCCTGCGTCCGCTGCTGCATGCTAAGGAATACTACAAAGTATTGTCCGCACTACAAAGTATTGTTATTTTTTTTCAAATTATTATTAACTACAAATTACAAGTATTAACTATATACTCATGCTTTGATTCCAAATTCAGTATTGTGAGTCTGTGACGCATTAATTTGCCCACATGGATTCATTGATATGGAAAAAAAAACATCTCGTGACCAAGTCCAACACATATACGACAAACCAGTTCTGATTTCCAGACCAGTTTGGTCTCCAAGTAAAAGGATGAACTTAGTAACCAGAATCGCCCCGAAAATAAAACTGAAAGTCTGAAACCAAACGTGGCTATGGTTCCGGTTTACCTATTTGACGCAGAACTGGGTAGTTTAAAACTAGACCGTGTCCATCCCTAGCAGTTCATTGCCAACCTGAGTAGTGGAATAGCGTGACAAAGACACGAAAATCAAGAAAAGTAGAGCACTGCCGATTCGGAAGAACTGAAGGGGATAATTTATAATAGATTATGTCCACAGAGATACAGATTAACCTGCATTGGATACAGCATTATTACCCTGTATATGTACACAATAGATTGTACAACACACGCCTATACAAGGATTATAGTTCTCTAAAACATCTTGCAAACACATGGGTTATATAACCGTCATCCCAACATGTCAATCACTTCAAGGGCAGTGACAATTTATTCAAGCATTTGCAGAAACAGGTATCATGCCATTTATCTCAGCCGCAAGGCAGCCATCGAGTGTAGGTTGGTGGTGCACAACCACAGTGGCATGCGCATCAGCACCTTCTTCACGCAAAGTTTTATCGTCTCCAACATGAGAAACACAAATGGAACCCACAACAGCCGTCTTATCTCCCACTACATTATGATCTTCCCTCACAATCTCCTCATCGTCTTTGGCTATGATTTCCCATTCCTCTCTAAGTGATGTTATCTGCACACCACCTTCCCCTTGGTGCCTCTCCATCTCATCAAACAAGGTGGGGAGGATAACATAATCATTAACTGGGTTATAGAAGGGATCGCGGTCTGCCTTGAGCCAGTGCTTAACAATCCTAAACACATGACGATCACAGAGGATCCCTCGGTGATCCCCTGGAACTCCAACCCTTGCTTCTGCATTAAGCCCATCTGCCTGTAAATCGATGATTAATATAGAGCATTTAGTACACTCACCGGTTTAATTTATTTTAATTTAAAAATCATAAGCATAGTCAAATGAGTAATTCATGTGTTATCTACTCGCCGAGTACTCGCAACTCGAGGGTGGCTGTTCCAGTTAGCACTCTGACTCAGCCTGTTCTGTTTATCCGAGTATCATGGCATCGGATAGGCCTGTCAATGGGTCGGGTCTAGGCAGGAACATAGTATTCGATCTGGATCCGCTGACTGATTTATAGTTCCAGACCGAACCTCATACCCGGCGAGTCTGAAATTGTTGTTCCAGACCCGGACCTAAAGGGTCCCGGAACCGGATCTGGTAGACCCATCCAATATGAGATTAAAATATTGCAATTTTTCTA